TGAAAATTACCTCTAATTCATAACTAACGACCCACTAACTTTAATGGAACATTGGATATCTGCAATAAAGTGTTGAATAAGAAATTTTCATAACCGTTGAATTTCTGTGCCAGACTTTAATATATTAAGTTTGATCCTGTGGTCCTCATGCTTCGTATATGCGCTATATCACATAAATTATTGTCAATTTGAGCAATACTCGACTCGATGTCAAGGTTCATTCGTGTTAACGACAAGCTGAAGATGGCTCGAAACGTTGGTAACTTATGTAATAAAATGCATATGCGGATCAACCGAAAGAAACATGAAGACCGCGGAATTAATCTCTCCCATAAAAGAAGAACGTTCAATCTTCAAATAAAGTTTCACCTAAATATTCTTTTAAAAAGCTACACGTTCTACCTCTGGCATTCCCTTTATCATTCAGCCAGGTGTTTTGTTTCATTCATTCATTTGCGCAAAAAGACTTAGTTATATAAAGTTGCGTATTGCAGCCACCTTTGACAGCAAAACAAAACGGTCAGATCAGTATCTTTTGACTTCTATTGACAGCTAATGACCGGCAGCACTTAGGCTGAAAGTATCGACCTAATAATTGACATGACATAAGATATACTATATACAAAAAGAGATATCGTCCGGCTTACTTGTGAGAATAAATACAGTACTGGCAATAGTTTAGCTTTGCTGGCTGCGGTATCGCAGCACGGCAAAATGAAATCATTTATGTAGCGAATTTGCAAGTCCTGCTGTAAGTCAGAATAATTGCAGATGGTTATTTTTTAACTCTGAAATTATTTATTTGAGAAATTTTTTGATTAAACTATAAAGGTCTGTCAGACTCATTACCATCGTCCGTTCTTTTGCTCTCGAAAAGGTCAATTTTCTTAACTAAAATTTAGTACAGGGTTTTTCGACGCCAAAAGTCAGAAATTACTGAATTGCAAACAGTACATTATATTATCATCTTTGTTTACGTTCAGTCTTTCTTCGCAAATAACTTCGATGTCTAAATTTTCGAGAGCAGACGACGACCTTAGTACTGGATTACATAATAGGATGAAATGAAGTGCATTTATCATAACTACTATATCAATGAAAATTTGAATCATTAAACAACTTATTAAAGGATTATAATAATCAGGAATGGGATAGAAAGACCTCACAAAATCTGATTAGGAAAAGAATTCGCTGCATACAAACTCAGAGGAAATGAATACAAGTTGTAATCTGTATAAAGTCCTCAAAGAATCTGTTGTGAAACCTTTCCAACGTACCATTTACACTCTTAGCGGGACATTATGACTCAAGGACTAACTTTTTAGAGGATCCAAATGAATCTGCATGGATTACATAAAATAACAGAGAGCCAAATTCTACGTAATTTCGATAACACTTAGAACGTAGTTATTAGTCATGAAATCGCTTGTATAAAATGTTTATTTATCATTTTTACAGATCACGCTGTTACAACGTAAAGTTTCATAGTGCTATTTAAACGAAAGCTAAGTCTGCTCCATTGGAATGGGCTGAAAATGTGACACATTTTCACTGGTTTCTAAATACGGATGACAATCCAAATCTTTTCGTTTGATCTTGTAGCAGGATGTTCTTCATCTGGATAAAATAGCTTAACAAGTCAATGAAAGATTTTATCACCATTGCATTGCTAGCCGAACATTCTAAGGGTCTGACATCCTTCTGGCTACCATAAGGGTGAGAAAAAAAACAGGACTTAGCCCACTTTTCATCAGTTTAGAAGAGATATGCCATCGATACGCTGAAAAGAATAGGTTAAGTCGCATCAGCCACTGGTACACTATCTCGCGTTTGAGAAAAATAGAGGCTGAAGCCTAAATCGAGCTGCTACATTATTTTAGGTTGCGGAAAATCAAACATTGCATTCTTGAAAGAAAGCAGTTCGTTCGAAATCACCATGCTTCTGCATGAAATGTCAGCATCGGTTTGCATTGAATAAGTGCACAAGCCTTATTCAAAACAGGAAGGCGTCAGCATATTGTGTTTTTCATTAGATGCAACTGCCAGCTTCCCAGCACTAAATATAATAACTTCATTTGCAATATAAATATAAAGAAGGACAGGCTTGTCGCATATTAGAGTATACAGCAAGGCACCGGCATATTATGAGGATCGCTAGCTCCATTCAGTCATGTGTAACACGTTCTGCAATCGGTTCCAATGAGACGACGGATTTCTATGTCAATACGGATTAGCTATCAAACTAACTTCATTCGCAATGCCGACATCAGAATGAGAATAGATTTGTCTCGGCAAATGTACATCGAGAAGGGAAAGCAGCTTTTCTTGATCGAGTGAAATACTTTCTGAGTGAAATGCCAGCAAACACAAAGCTGAAAGCAAAGTTTGCACGAAGCCATCGATCACAAGAATGTGTTCTTCCGATAGTTCTAAGATTTACCGCCTCGGCAGCATAACGGGCAAGGGAGATGCTCCATTGAAAGTAGAACAAAAAGGTTTTAAATCGATCTAACAGAATGATAGCAAACTTGAACAACAGACCTAGCAAGGATGTAACAACGGTGATTTAAATGAACGATGAATGTCAAATAACGTGCGAAGAAAATATCGGATTTTAGCAGCAAGTGAAGATACGGATGACTATCGTGTGATCTCCACTGAATATTTATCACGAACCTGCACATCAAAACTAGCCAAAAAG